GCTCAGTGTATAGTACAGAGTAGTTCAATGTGTAAGTCATTACTTGCACTAACTACAATACTGGATAAATAAATATATAATATAGCGGGTAGTTCCAACATATACATAAGAGTATATATATAATAGCACAATGCCAATGCAATCGAATGTACAGAGAGTACCATGTGCATCTACAAACACCCGTAAAAAGCACTGCCCCTTCCAAGGCTGCAAGGCCACCGCCCCACTGAACCACTTGTACTATTTTTATTTGTCTTACGATTTAATAACTAATTAAAATTTTATTTACACGCCTCATAACGCAAAAGCGTTTGAGGTTTTGATTTACTCTTCTTGCCTTTACTTGCCAATTTATATTATTGTTATTTTATAATTAAAATTGCTATTTATGTACGCTAGTACAAAAATGTTTTTTATACTTATTTATCCGTAAAATTTAATTTTAAAAATATAAAAGCATTATTTATATTTTAAAAAATCTAAGTAAGGTAATTAACAATAACTAGCAACCTTGCAGTCACTATGTGACTGCCATGACTTGTAAAATATAAATAAATAAAATTTTGCTTCATTAAATAATAAATTTTGTTAAATTGTACTGTACTTCTTTAACGATTGATATTTTTAAAGATATAAGCTCATCATGATGTTACATTCATGAAGAGCTTTTATTTGAGTACCCACATGGCATTTTTTATATATTTTATATATATAGTATTTATAAAATATATGAATATATAAAATATATGAAAAATTTATGTGGGTATTCAAATGAAAGGTCTTGATGAGTGTAACATCAGGATGAGCTTATATCTTTAAAAATTTCATTAGTTCACGAGATACAAGGTCATTTTTTAATTATTGATATTTTTAAAGATGTAAGCTCATCCTGATGTTACGCTCGTCAAGAGCTTTCATTTGAGTACCCACATGGGATTTTTCATATATTTTATATATTTGGTATTTGTGAAATATATAAATATATGAAAAATTGATGTGGGTACTTAAATGAAAGGTCTTGATGAGTGTAACGTCGAGATAAGCTTATATCTTTAAAAATGTCAATAGTTGACAAGATACAAGGTCATTTTATAATTATTGATATTTTTAAAGATATAAGCTCATCTCGATGTTACACTCATCTAAATTGCACTGTACGTTTTTAAAGATATAAGCTCATCTCGATGTTACACTCATCAAGAGCTTTCATTTGAGTACCCACATGGATTTTGATATATTTTTCATATATACATATATATAATATATATAAATATATGAAAAATTGATGTGGGTACTCAAATGAAAGGTCTTGATGAGTGTAACATCAGGAAGAGCTTATATCTTTAAAAATGTCAATAGTTCTCTAGATATACAAGGTCATTTCTTAATTATGTATCTAAAGATAGAGAATTTTTTAATGCAGCCTAAATACTTGTTATCATAAATTGACTATTGGAGAGAGTAATATGAAACAAAATGATTTTTTTATTTTGCAAATTTTTTATTGATTGTATTAAAATATTGTAATTCTTATTCATTACAATAAAAGTCAAAATAATACGAAGTTTTTTCATGATTAAAAAATAAATTTAAATAATATTATCGCAGAGTTTGAACAAAAGTTTGCGCTAAGCCGAAAAGAGCCGAGTATTTACGGAGATTCGCGAAGTAAGGCGTCGTGAAGTCTCGTCAAACACTTTCACTGCTATATAATTCAAGAACATTAAAAAAAAAATTTTTTTCGACCCAGAACCTTTTTAATTTTTATTAATAAATTAATAATTATTAATTTATTAATTATAATCAAATCAAAAAATAATTGAAGTTTCAATTCTGGGTCAAAAAACATTTTTTTTCAGTAAAAATATATTTTATATTAAAAATTTTAATTATTAAAACATCAATCATCAAAAATAAATTTACACTTAACTAAGCGAGTAGATATAAGGGCTAATATATTAATAATACAATTTATTTAAATTGAAAAAAAATAAAATTTGAATGATTTAATAAATTTCTAGAAAATAAATATAGATATTTTTTTTTTGTGTCAATATAATTAAGTTGTAAATAAATAATAAAAAAAACGATGAAAAAATCTATTCAGTGAAACGTATAAAAGGTGATATTTGCGAACCCCAGGAAATGCGTTTGCAAATGGGAACTTTAGACTGGCAGGGATTGACCCAGACACCCCCTCCAGTAGATAACTCTCCCTCCATGGATATACATCACTTCTAAAATCCGAGTTCACCATAGCATGGGGTACAAGCCCCGTTGGTTTTAAAGATAAAAGAACTGTCACACCACCCACTAACTACGCATACACATTTTATCTCTCTTCATACTTACAAAATACATTGATAGTATTTTTAATGAAAGATACCTACTATTTTATTTCCACTGAGAGAAAATGCATAGTTAGCTGAATTATAGCGTCACAAGTATAAAAATATATTTTTCTAATTTTTTTATAGTCACTCGAACTATGCATTAGCTTAAGTAACTATTGATAAATAGTTATAACGACTCTATTTTAATATTTGAATAGTTTTCATTGAATTTTAATATTTTATTATCAAGAAAGCAAATGGTAAAATTAAAATGTAATCCAGATATATTTTTGACAGATTATGTGCGCTTAAAATTCATGAATAAGTAGTGATTTATTAACTAATCTAAGGGGAGCATGCTTCTAGAGACTGCCTCGCCAATTAATCACTAAAATATTTATCTTTCGGACAAAAATATAAGACAGTAACATGTGAATTTTTGGTTACTTATTTTTATTTTAATTAATTGAACAATTATTCGTAAGTGTCTTTATCGGTAGTTTGTTGAATCGAAAGGTGTACAGAAAGGCAGTATCAAAGACGTCACACTGAAATAAAAGTGCATAGTTAGCTGAATTATATAGCGTCACAAGTATAAAAATATAGTTTTCTGATTTTTTTTATAGTTACTCGAACTATGCATTAGTTTAAGTAACTATTGATAGATAGTTATATCGACTAAATATTAATAAATATTCTTCTATCGTGTTAAACAAAAAAGTATTAGGTGACTGAAAGATTGTTGCGGGCGATGTCTCAGATAGCTTAACTGTCCGAGCCCTTAGTGCGTAACCAAAAGATCCGGGTTCGATTCCCGGTCCGGGCTGTCCGAATTATTTTTCTGTTTTCTAAGTTAAAGTTAATCAAGATGATTACTGAGCCCTTATTTAACTAAAAATAGTTTAAGTAAGTATTGGGGTTCAATATAATAAATAATTTTAGGCATAAGAACTTCAATTAAATAATTTTGATGCTATTTAACTAGATTTTCTTAGTTCAGATTTTCTCTCAATTTTATGTAATAACTCTGAGCAAAAAGTGAAATCATTAATCAGCGAAATATACAAGAAAAATATTGTTTAAATTACAGGTTTTAAACAAATTTCGAGGAATCTAATAATTTTTTTTAAACACCTAATAATTAAAGAAAAAACTTTGCGGCAGTATTCAAACTTGAACTTATAACTGACCTATGGATTTCTTCACGAAGCCATCTAGCGATTATTACACCAAGTTTTTTACTGAACGTATGTTGGCACAGTAGAAATATTGAGGTAAAAAATTCACTTTTGAAATATATATTTAAATAATTGCGGTTTGTCTTTTTTTGCTCTAGTTAATTTTACAAAAAATTCAGACAAAATTATTAAACAGGGAAGAATTAACATACTTTAAATAATTATTTAATATGCAAATTACTTTTCAATAAAATAAGATAAAAGGCTTAACATTATTTTGCAGTATTGACACCATAAAATTGCGTAGAGATTTTTCATACCATAAAGAGTGAATATAGACGACGGTAATATTTCAAAAGAAGATGATCGATTGTATCGCTATGGAAACAACACAAATAAGTTTTACCGTCTAATATGATTGAAAATACATGAATTTGTTTATTAAGAAACTTACTGTTGATTTTAATAATTATATGACAATAAATATTTATTACTAAATAATGAAGTCTAAATGTAAACAAACTATTAATAAGGTAAGTATTTCTAAGAAAATTATACAAAAATAGTTTAGATAACATTTTTTATTTTTTGATAAATACACGGAAAAAAGTAAACTGTAATATTCACTCGGATTCCGGTTAATTTGTTATAGTTTCAAACAGTAAAGCGGACATCGGGGTGGTAAAAATATAAATATTACAGAACTTAATGTAGAAAGTATAAAAGCCACAATTTATAATTTAATATCCAACAATAAGTGATAGTTGTCACTATAGTAAATAACGACTCTTTCATCTTAAAAAATTACAGTTTCAAACAGTAAAAATTACCATTTTAATATATAGTCCATATTTTGAGAAGAAGGGGAACTCAGATGAAAGAGAAAGGGGTTTCACTCTGGGAGAATTTAACATTTGAAACAGTTAAAATTATACTTTTAAATATACATTTTACCAGTCCAAGCAAGTCAATAATTACAGTTTGATTTTTAGCGTTGCGTTTAAAATTTACCATTTTACTTTGTAAATATTAACGTTGCTTGTATTAGAAATTTACTAACTTTACTTTATACTTTTTACATATCATAAGATCATTTTTTAGCTACCAAATGATAAATATCAAAGTCTGAATTCTTAATTATTTTACTTTAACATTTTAGACATTTACATAGCGAATATTACTGTTTGAAATAGTATTTTCTTCCATGTAAAGAATAAATTGTAACGTTTAAATGGTAAATATTATAAAGTGAATAGTAAAATCACGATTTTACTGTTTGAAATAGTAATTTTGAGCAGTTGATAATTACTTATTATAAATCGACTGTTATTTATTACAGTTTACTTTTTTCCGTGTATTCATTAATCTTAAAATATTTGTTAAGCCTTCAGTAGCAGCCTCAACACTCTGTATTTCTCAAAATACCTTTAATCGCCTGCATGATTATACAAATGACCTTGAAAATATAAATGCAATTGCTGAAAAAAAGATTAAACGGCTAGCCGAGCTCAAAGCGGCTTCAATAGAATTGAGTAAAAATTGGAATAATGCCATTGTTAATGTAACAAAAAATTGCCGAGAAGAACTTTTATCGAGAAGACGAAACGTCAATGAAGAAAAATTGAAATTAATCCAAAAATTGGCTGAACAAAATCGCGAAGAACGTGCGGTTATTGTTAAAGAAGCACAAAAATTAATATTGTATAAAAAACCACAATGTAGACTTATTAATGCTGCTCTTTTTACTTCCGAGGTAAGAATGAAATAATTCAATCATAATAGCTTCAATAAAGAAAAAAAGAAAAGTTTTTTTAAGTTTGTAGTTTAATGATAATATTAACAGTGTTTCAGAGAACTGCAAGCTCAATTGGAGTTTAAAAAAATGCTGAAAGGGATTGAAGATGGGTACAATAAAGAGTATATTGAAAAATTGAGGAAAGATGCTGAAGACTATTGTCTTGAGAAGCGAATTGAAGTTAAAAAATCGTGGGAGAAAAAGGAAGCTTATAGAAATGAATTAAAAAAACAGAAAGTAGTTTTGTATTTACCTTTGTTTTATTAATAACATTATTAGGTGACAAAATACAGAGTAACTCCTTAATGATTGACATTTTTTAAGATATAAGCTCATCTTGATAATATACTCGTCGAGACCTTTCATTTGAGTACCCACAGGCAATTTTTTATATATTTCATATATTTTATATATATGATATTTGTGAAATATATAAAATATATGAAAAATTCGTGTGGGTACTCAAATGAAAGGTTTCGACGAGTGTAATATCGAGATGAGCTTATATCTTTATAAATATCATTATTTGACAAGATAGAGTGTAATTTCATCATTATTGACATTTTTAAAGATATAAGCTCATCTTGATATTATACTCGTCGAGACCTTTCATTTGAGTACCCGCATGCAAGTTCTTATATATCTCATATATTTTATATATGTAGTATTTGTGATATATATAAAATATATGAAAAATTCGTGTGGGTACTCAAATGAAAGGTCTCAACGAGTGTAATGTCGAGATGAGCTATTATCTTGAAAAATATCATTATTTAACCGGATAGAGTGTAATTTCATCATTATTGACATTTTTAAAGATATAAGCTCATCTTGTTATTATACTCGTCGAGACCTTTCATTTGAGTACCCACATGCAATTTTTTATATATTTCATATATTTTATATATGTAGTATTTGTTATATATATAAAATATATGAAAAATTGATGTGGGTACTCAAATGAAAGGTCTTGACGAGTCTAATACCGAGATGAGCTTATATCTTGTGATAAGCAAAATGAAGTTCAAAAATGGTGGAAAAAAAAAGAAGCTTATAGAAATATTTAAAAAAAAATTGAAAGTATTTTTATATTTATCTATATGTTTCTATAAATAATAAGTTAGTTTTCAATGTAGAAATAAATTTTAAGTTAACGTTATTCTTATCAGTGATAATTGATAATTAAAAAGAAAATTTTTATTATAGGATTGAAAATACAGAATCGTATTTGAAGAAACAGGAATTATTAGATTCCAAAGCAGACAAAAAAGATCTAGAAAAGGTTATAGAAGAGTACAAACTTATTGAACAATGTGAAGCTGAACAGGTAAAAATTACTTAATCTAAGAAGTTTATTTTACACTGAGAAAAAATTTATTTATTAAAAGTGTGCAAGGATATAATAAAAAATTAATTTTTTGAATAATTTTTTATTTTAGATGAGAAACAAAAAAAGAAAGTTGCAAGAAATGTTTTTAGAACAAATAAAAAACAATAAACTCGAACAAGACAGACTTAAAAAACAAGAATTGTTAATGAATGACTTGGCCGATGCTTATGCTAAAGCAAAGGATCATTTAAATGAAACAACTAAAGCGAAATTGAAAGAAATTCAAGCTGAAAAAATACGTCGTTCGGAATTAATGGGTTAGTAATATATTATCATATTTTTAAAATAATTGTTTGTAAAATTTATTTAAATTTTGTCAATTATTAGCAAAAAAATGCGCTATTATTTGGAAAACTTGCGACGAAGAAAATGATGATAAATTGAAAAAGGCAATGGAAGAAAAAATTGAAATTGAAATTGAAAAAATGAATGCTAAAAAAAATAAGGAAGCAAAATTAAAAGCGGATATTCAAAAATATTTAATTGAAAATGAAGAAATTATGAAGAAACGCAAACAAGAAGAAGAAAATGAAAAAAAATGGGAAATTTATCAAAGAAACAAAAGAGATGAATACAATAAACTTATGGATGATAAAAAATTACAAAATGAAAAGATTAGAAAGAAGAAAATAGCTGAGGAATTGAAAAGACAAATGGTAAGTTATAATTTTAATTTTATTTTTTAAATGAATTTTTTTCCCCTAATAAATCATGAATCACAAAACAAAAATTGAAAAGAATAAATAATATTTAAGCATTACTTTTTTTTTGACGTTTATTTTTATATTTTGTAGAAAGAACAAGAAGAGTTACGTAAAAAAGAAATTATGGAAAATGATGATTCAATCTACACCACAGAAGCTCTCAAAAAGACTAATGAAAGAATTTTAGCTTATGGAAAACAAGTTTTAGAAGAATCAACAGGAATTCGACCTGTATTTCCCATTATTAAAGTTATTGAGGTAAATAATATATTTTAATGATATTTAAAAATTAATTTGCATATAAGGTAAAAAAACCCAGTTATTGACACTTGCAATTTTATTTTAATTAAAAAAAATCAACTCTAATAAATTAATAAATATAATTTTTTAATTATAAATTTTTAAAAAATTAGTTTTTTGAGAATATTTTATTTTTTTTAATTAAAATGAAATTTCAAGTGTCGAACAACTAGGCCAGTGTCAATAACTGGGTCTTTTACCTTATAGATGATATTATATTTCTTCTTTTAGCAATTCAAAAAAGAAAATAGACTTGTACCAGCAAAAAAATATTACAGAAATGAAAATTCATTAAAAAATTGCAATTGTTGGACGAACAACTTAGAATTGAAGATTACCAGCCAAAATTAAAATTACAATTTAATAATTTTGTGATTAAATTAATAATATGAAGTATAAAAAAAATATAGATTTCTTCCCTGAATCTACCAAATTTTTATATCTTATTTTTTTTTTTTTCAGTATTGTTACATTTTTTATTACTTTTAATACATTACCTAATTCTTTATTTTTTCATATTTTTACTATCAATATATCTTCTTTAAAAAAACCGAATTTTTTTATCAATCAAGAGTAATTAAAAAAAAATTTTTTTGAACATTTAGAAGTAAACCAAAGATCACTTCATCGTATATAATAACAAAGCATATTTCGTTTTTTATTGTCATCAGTTACAAAATATACAAAACATAAAATAAAACAAGTGGAATTCATCAACATAATTATGTATAAACAATTGGTATTATTTATCTGATCTCAAATAAATCTCCAGAATAAGTAACTATATTCTTCTCAGTTTCCCATATTTTAACTTTGTGAAGCAATGATGGGTCACGCATTAATTTTTTTATTTCATCAAAAATATAAACAGCCAGATTTTCTGTTGTCGACACAACATTCTTAAAGTATGGAACATCTTTATCTAAATTTTTGTGATCTAATCGATCCATTAACACTTTATGCATGTGCTCTTTTAATTCGGAAATATTCATAACCATTCCAGTTTTAGGGTCTATTAGACCACGCACAGTTACTTCAACTGAAATATATAAGAGCATTTAAATTTTGTTTATTGTTCAGGCTCATACTATGAAAATTAAATTAACAGACGTATAACAATTTTTAAGACTTTTTCCTTAATTTAAAAAAAATAATTATTTTGTTTTTTTTTTATTAAAGATTTAAGGTCGCTTTAACCAACGAGTCATTAGAAATTAATTATTATAAGCAAAATAAAGATAATTTCACTTTATTTTAGAAATAAAAAAAAATTATAAATGCAATTTTTTTCTTAGTAGTTAAAATTAATAATTAATCATCATATGTCTGCTGATTTCTATACTATCAGTTTAGATATATATTCACCAGTGTAATTGTGGCCATGTCCCCAATAATTGTTGCATTTACCGTAAATTTCTGCATTTTTTTCATCACTCAAGTGGGGACTAAAAAATGTAATATTATTTTATAAAAATTTGCATGAAAATTAATTGAGCAAATATTTCATAATTTTAAGAATTTTTTAAACAAATAAATTATGTCAAAGAAAATGAAAAAAAATGACATTTAGAAAATTAAAAAAAAATAAAAAATCCAATTTTTTAAAAATGATTTTTCGGAGTAAATTTATTTGTTAAAAAAAATTAAAAACTTGTCATAAAATTTGTAATTTTGTATTTAATTTTAAATAAAACTAAAAGATTTTACCAAGTGCAATTTTAAAAAAATATTTTTATGTTATAATAGTAAAATTAGCAAATATTTGACAATTTTTAATTTTTGAATAAAATAAAAATTGTTTTTTTTATAGTAAAAAAATATTTTTTAAAATTGCACTTAGAATTTTTCAAATTTTCTACATGTCAAAATTTTTTCTTTTAATTTTTTTTCACTAAAAAAATTCAAAAAATTTTCAGATATCAGCTGATTTAATTTCTATTTATTTGTTCTAATTTATTGATCTGAGCAAAATAAAAAATGTAAGCTAATTATTTCTATAGAATTCTTTTTAATTTACCTGTGAAGTCGATGACAGGTTGAAATTGTTTCTCGTCTAGTTAAACATGCAATTGGATAACCCATAATTTATAAAAATAAATAAAGTCCTTAAGATTTATAATAAAAAATTGTTATTTCAATAACATATGTTTCTACGCTGTTTCTTATAACTGGATATTTATTTTCTTGTAGTGAACTTTGGTACTTATTCCATCAAGTACCTATTGAATATCTAAAAATTTGAAAAAAAAATTATTAATTATTGCGTAAGTTTTATTAAAAAAGAAAAAAAAATTACTTACTAGTAATCTCTCAGTTATTACTTAATATTTATGCTGATAGCAGATTAGCTATGTTAATTTCTGACACTTGTGTAGTGCAGTGCAGTGTATACAGTCCTACAGTCATACTATTATTTTTGTATTTTTATTTACTGTCGCTTGATTTTCACAGCAACAGGCGACAGAAGTGACAGGAGCTCTTCTCCAGCGCCGCGTATCGTTATAATTATAAAACATTTCACGCGGTAAAACTTTCATTTTTTAAACCTAGAGCAACTTTAATTTAAAAAAATTAAGTGAATATAAAAGAAGTATTTTTTAATATTTGCTTTCATTTTATTTTTTATTTTTTACAAGGGTAAATTTATGATACTAAAGTTAGCCGACGTTTAACAATTATTTTTTTTTTTTTATTAATTGAATTAAGACTAAAAAATTATTTTTAAAAAATTGCACGTGTGATTTTTTAATTTTTCTACATGTGAAATTTTTATGACGCTGAAGTTAGCAGATGTCTAAAAATTTTTGATTTTTTTTTTTTTTAATTAAATTACAACTAAAAAGATTTTTTAAAAAATTGCACTTATAGTTTTTCAAGTTTTTAACAAGTGATATTTTTTTTAATTATTTAATTGAAATTTTTTGGATAAAAAAATTTCTAAAAATTTTGAAATGTCAGCTAACTTTATTTTCATAAATTTTTTCTTTTAATTTTTTTTAAAAGAATTTTTCAATAAAATAAATTATTAAAATTTTAAGATGTCGGCTAATTTAATTTTCATGTAAATTTTTAATTATTTAAAAAAAAAATTTTTTTGTAATTAAAAGCATAAAAATTGACAAATTTTTGCTATTATTTGTGTCATAGTATTAAAACTGATCATTTTTTACCCTGACTTCTTTTAAATTAGATAAAATTTCGTGAAAATTAAAGTCGTTGATATTTAACAATTTTTTTAAAAAATAAATTACTACAAAAAGATTGATATTAAAGTTAGCTGTAAAATTCTTTAATTTTATTTAACAAAAAAATTTGTTCCGAAAAATTATTTTAAAAAAATTGCATTTTTTATTTATTAAAAATTCTACTAAAGTTAGCCGACGTTTTTAATTTTTTGATTATTTTTTAATAATTAAATTATAAAAAAAAAACATTTTTTAAAAATTGCACTTACAGTTTTTAAAGTTTCTTACAAGTGAAATTTTTTTTTATTCTTTTGTAATCATTTTTTCAATAAAAAAAAAAATTCTAAAAATTTTTAAATGTCGGCTAACTTAATTTTCATAAAAAATTGACGTAAAAATTTTATGAAATAAAAAATAAAATTTTTTTTCAAATAAATTTTTTTGTTAAATAAAACTAAAAAATTGTCAAGTGACTGTTAATTTTAATGTCATAATAATTAAAGACAAAAAACTTCTTTAAAACTTAAACTATTTTATATCTTATCTCTCATGCGATAATATATAATACATTAATGAATTAGAAGTCATATTAATGATAGATATTTACTTATCTTTATAATTTTAAAATACTTTAGTTATAATTAATTAAATTTTCATTATAAGGTAAAAAAATTTACCGGCATTACTAAAAGACAAAAATACATTGCAGATATAATTATAAATTAAAACTAAAAAATATTTCTTTTTAAATTGCACTTACAATTTTTCAAATTTTTTTGTTAATAATTTTTTTCAATAAAAAAAATTATAAAAATTTTTTAGATGTCAGCTAACTTATTTTTATAATTTATTTGCTAAATAACAAAAATATACCGGAACAAGTAGTCTCTATTTACCTACAGTCACAGTAAAGTGATGTATGATGTCTACAGTCAGCTGACAGTCTACAGTTAAGTCTGAACGTTGAGAGTTGAGACATATGACCACACCGCATGACGTAGTGTGTTAAGTGTTAATAAAAGTTGAAAAACTGCAGCTACGTCACTTCAAGGTTAATTTATTTTCTGAAAGTAAGGTTTATTTTTATTTTCTTATTTTGTCGTTTGTCGTCAAGTGGTTGATAGTCGGCATTCAGTTTTTACTCATTTACGCTTGCATTACCTCACTGTACGCTGACACTGACAGTTCAATTTAAAGTTTTCAATAATTTTTAGTTTAATTTTTCTATAAGTACACATTTTATTTTATTATTTACAGGCAGTTAATTAATTATTACAATGTCGGGCAAAAAACCTGAAGCTACTGTGCCAAACAGCATCAAATTTCTTATTGGAGGAACATCAGGGTAAATTTTATATTTCTTTTTATAATTAATGCCAATTTATTACTTAAAAAACTAAAACTATTAATGATACTAAAATTATCCGACGTTCAAGAATTTTTGATTTTTTTTATCAATTAAATTACATGTAAAAAAATACTTAGAAAAAATTGCACGGATAATTTTTCAAAACTTCTACATGTGAAATTTTTTCTTTTCATTTTTTTATAATAATTTTTTCATTAAAAAAAAATTATAAAAATTTTCAGATGTCGGTTAATTTAATTTTTATAATTATTATAATTTATAATTGTAAAATTAGTTGAAATTTTTTTTTTTACTTCATTTATTAAATTAGAATTAATAAAATGTTTTTTTTTAAATAATTTTTCTTATTAAAAATATTATTGCGTCATTGTATAAAATTGACTTATTTTTAAATTTAACATTTTTTAATTAATATTATAAATATTATTCATTATTACTATTTAAATATTAATCTGGTATTTTTAAAAGTAAATTTTTTGTAAATTTAATCTGTGATTTATTTGTAATATAAACTGTCTAATTAAAAAAAATGTCAACCTTAATTAGAATAAAAAATAACTAATGAATAATAATTGAATGTACAGAATGGCTGCAACATGCTTTGTCCAACCTTTGGACTTGATCAAGAATCGTATGCAATTGAGTGGACAGAAGACATCGACCTTAAACGTAATATCTTCAATTGTTAAAAATGAAGGGTTTTTCGCTATGTATTCTGGCCTAAGCGCTGGATTATTAAGACAAGCGACATATACAACAACAAGATTAGGAGTTTATACATGGCTTTTTGAAATTGCTTCGTAAGATATTTCATTTATTTTTAATATTTCAATTTATAGACGTCTGATAATTTATAGAATTTTTTTTTTACTAAAAAAAAATTTTATAAAGAAATGAAAAAAAATCTTACTTATAAAAATTTGAAGAAATTTTTTATTCAATTTTTTTAAAATAGTTTTTTGCTATTAATTTACCTTTTAAAAAAAATAAAATAAAAACTAGCAACCTTGCAGTCACTACGTGACTGCCGTAACTTGTGAAATATAAAAAATTAAAATTTTGCTTCATTAAATAATGACTTTTGTTAAATTGCACTGTATTTTCTTAACTATTGACGTTTTTAAAGATATAAGCTCATTCCCATGTTACAAGCTTTCATTGGAGTACCCACATGCATTTTGATATATTTTTCATATATTCATATATATATTAGGGTGTGCCAAAATGTAACTCCCGTGGAGGACCTTTTAGAATTGGAATTTTGAGTTCCGCTTTTAAAAGCAG